ATTTTTCCCTTCACGATTTCATTAGACCTATGATCAAAACTCTGGTAGGAAGAAAAATTATTATGATTTTAAATTTTCAGGATAATATTAAGCCTTAAAAAATTTTCAGGTACTCAATGTTTTTTAGTAAAAACTTTCAAGGTAAATCTGCATCTTAACTCTAACATCTATGTTTTGAAGTTTTAAAAAATAACTAAAACTGCGGTTAAAACATTATTCTAGTCCCATTTAATAATTATTAAACAAGACTTGTGTTCTCTATAATGATTAAATTATTTAAAAAATTTATGGAATAGGTTAAAATTATTTAATTTAATTAAAAAAATCATATACGCATAAAAGTGTCCACGCAAAACAATATATTGCTGATGAGGTATAAATTGAGGGTATTCAGTTGTCATTTTTCAATTTGGCTTAATTTTCATGCAGAATGATTTTGGTGGGTTGGGAATAAATTGGAATAAAATATTGTAAATGATCAATGTTAGGTAGTTGAATTTTAGGAAACGCAAGGACTAAGATTTGTCTAAGAGGGAAATTAATATTATTTAATTAAGACTCTCATTTTCAATCACAATGGAATTCTATTTTATTCTTGATTTTGTTTGGTTATGTTGGATTGGTTGAAAAAAACATTGAGATGTTATGGTTCACAACTTAGTCAAAGGAAAAAATTAATTAATAAATAATGTGAGCTTATATCACACGTAATCAACGAATTTAAGCTTGTTATGAATAAGACTCTGCAGAAAATTTCATTAATTAAAAATAAAAAAAAAAAGCCGACGGCTCTTTGGTCGAGTGACATTAGATGTATTTTTACAGAACCAATATGTAAGTTCGATCCCACAATCATATATACTAAAAAAATGAGTGACAAAATTTGCGAATTTTGTGACAAAAAAAGCCGTCATTAATTGATTAGTGACAAAATTATGTCATTAAACTGATTAGTGATAGAAATTTCATTGCTATTTTTTTATATTCTCAAGTGTTATGCTTTTTCAAAAAAAAGAAAACAAAGATTAAATTTAAAGTGCTTTGAAGGGATATTCAGTTGGGTCTATAGATGATCAATATAACACAATACCAGTTATGTGTTTAATGAATTAACTTGTTTAAATTAACTCAATTCACTGAAGTAAGTTTAAAACGCAAACCAAACTTTATGTGGTTGAATTAGGCGTTTTTGACATGGGAACTTCAATTAATTGCTATGGGGAGTCCCAAAAAATGCCTCTTGGAACAATAATATGTGATTGAATTAGGCGTTTTTTATTATTTTTGAATTACGAACGAATTTTATGCCAGTGCTTTTGGGACTCCCCATAGCAATTAATTGAAGAGCTCATTTGATTGGAATCTTTTGATCATTTGCGACTTTGGGTAATCGTTGCGTAGTGTACGAGGTTTCACGACAATTGTCATTGTTTAGTGGTCTCTCTAGTCCCAAGTATATACAAGTTAGTTAGAGAGTTTGTTTTGGGTTTTAAATATAATATTTTAACTTATTTTGTTTCCTAAAATTATTAAGGACTTGCTTGTTTCTGTTTTTAGTTTTATTGTTCTTAGAAAAAATTTAGAAAATTGTTTTTTAAAACAGTTTTTGAAAAGAAAAAAAATTAAAAAATGTTTAAATAATTATTTTGAAAAAATCAAATTTAAAAAACATAAAAAATCACATTTGGTAGGTGTTAACTGTTGTCGGTAGTGAAACGTGGCAGGAGGTGGATGAAAAAAGAAGAAGATTTATTCACTTTTTTAAAATAAAAAATAAAAACGAGAAAACATCAAAAAATCGTTTTTGGTTTTTAAATTTTTAAAAACATATTATTTTTTTAAAATAACTAAGAAGAAATTACCCAACAAGTTTTTTCTTTTTTGAAAAAAAATTATTTTAAAACAAGAAACCAAACAAGTCCAATATTTTTTATTAAATTATCCTCATTAATTATGTATATAATAAGGGAATTTTTTCATCCTAGGGCAGTTTTAGCCGCAAATAATTAAAGAGGGTGTCTAAAGAAGATCATTAATACACATTTTTTACAAACTAATTACTTAATATCTATAGATTAATCATGTCTACTTGGGCTTCAACTTGCTTCTTGGGGTTCTTACGAGGTTTTTCACTTGTACAACTATAAACTGTTCTTGGACCATTTGAATGCTAGTCGGTCTTCACAGCATTCTGCAGGAGTACCTGAACTGGACTGTGGATTCGAATATGCTCACTGTATTGGGCTGGGCTTGTTGGCCAGATGTTCAAGTAACTTAAGAGATTTCATATATATATGTGTGTGTCTATATATATATATCATTTTAAATAGGAAGAATTTCAATGAAGTCCTAAATAAGAAATATAATTGCGAAAAATTTTAAGTAACAATACTACAATAGAGTAACATGTAATAACAAGTTTTAGAATAGTAAATGACAATAGTTTACTTGTTATTTGGACTTACTAGTAATTATTTTCTTTCCTTAGAACATGGTTGTAATTGTTCCTTTTAAATGCATACAAGAGTTGGGTCTAGTGGAAAGCATTTGCTAGTCCTTCACAAGGCAAATAAAAATTTAAAACTCGTTAAGAGACATACCCATATTTAGTACCTAAATGTGCCTCTAATAAGAGAATAATTACGTTTAGTTAAAAAAAAAAAAGGGCCTTCGAACATCAATTAACATAGGAGAAACATAATGTGAATTTAAAGACAAGTTAATTATATATAGTCTTTTAAGTGATTTTCACAATTAAAATAATCCCCCTTTTGTAATTCAATGATCAGCTACTAAATTTCAAACCAATGCAAAAATAGTATTGGTGAGTAGTAACTACTATTCTCCTGATATAAAAGCTAGCTAGAGATTTAATTTTAGTTTTAAATATAATATTTTAGTTTATTTTATCTTTCATATCATTTTTACCAAAACTAATTTATCAAACTTATCAAATAATATATAATCTAAGGTTACATAAGAATCTTTTAAAGAAATCATACCATATTTATTAGAGTTAAGTATTTATTTAACTTTTCTAATCTATCTAAATTACTCTTCCAGTCCCAAATATAAATTACACTAAAAAATACATCTTATATTTAGAATTGGAGGAATCTTAAGTAGCTTTTGTATTAAGAACTAAAAGAGTATTAGTCAATGGTGACATAAGATTTTACGTTTTCAAACCACAAGAAACAATCCTTTCACAGTTTTACTGAGAAAAATTGTTTGGCCTACGGGAACTAATTAGGAAATTGACCTTGGATGCATCAAGATGAGAAAAAGAAAATTTCTAAAGAACCGAATTAAGGGAAGATTGCTTTATCAAACACTGATAAACTTCCTTTGGTTTTAAATATAGTAGCTAGTTACAGAGTTTATTTTAGACCCAAATGTAACACTTCAATCTACTTTATTTCTTAAATTGTAATCTTCTCTCAAACTATTCCTATTCATTATACGTGCATAAAAAAAACATAGTTTTCATCCTGAGATCATTTCAATGCAAATTATCAAAAACAAAAACTATTCATCCAGTCCTAAATATAAAACTTATTTTATAAAATAGTATATGTAGTGTAAAATGAGTCTTATATTTAGCATTGGAGGGAGTCAATACCCATATTTTATAAATAACTTATTTAACTGATTTTCTTTATCAATACACATGTAGGATTGAAGAGAGTGTTTTGCATAAAATGGAAAACAATGTACATATATAAAATGCAAGTTTGAGACTTAATATAGCTGGATGTCAAAATTTTGGAAACTAAATTGTATCTGAAGACTTGTCCCAAAAAAAAAAGAGTTATATCTGAAGCAAGATCATGAGTAGATTAATTTTTGCGTTGAAAAATCTTAACCAGGACACCCTAATGTACTTGAAAAGAATGCAACAGGATGTAGAAATTTCTATGAGAAGGAAGAACTTTTCAAAAGATATATCCAGTAGAAGTGGATATTATTGCTCTAGTGCGAAAATGCACATGCTAATGTTGCTGAAGATAAATGACAGGACCAATAGACACAGAAGAGACATTTCTAATAACCTAAACTAATAAAACATAAACAGAGAAATATGACAAAAATATACTTCCCCCACTCTAAATACAGGACCTAGTTGAAAAGATTGTTTTGGTCTTAAATATAAAATCTCAATTAATTTTATCTTCCAAACTTATTTTTTTTCTTTCCAAACTATCCTTATATTGCATATATTATACAAGTGGATTTCTATTGGGTAGTTTTCAATACAAATAATTAAAAGAGTATTTTAAGAAACAAAACATATTTTTTACAAATAACTAAATTTATAAATTATTCATCTAGTAAATTAATATTTAGAGAGGGAAAGGAATAATTCTGTGTCCACATGCTCTGGGAAACAAATTAACATAGAAGAATATGATAATTATGGCTGGATATTAATTGTGTGTGCATCTTTGTTTTTATGAAGAAACAATGGAATATGTATGCGTCCTTGATATATAAAGAGGACATTAGCGTGAATTAGTATAAAATGCAATAATTGTCAAGTTTGAAAGCCATGTATATAGTACTTGATTCTAAATAACTTGAAACGTGATAAAGGCCATACATTCCAATACAAAGTTCCTTCTCACTTCCGGACACAACACAAGAGTCCAAGTCCTTCGTTCAATTTCTACTGTTCAGTACAATTTTTGGCCGGATTGTCCAGTCCCGACTTACAAGAATACACACCATATCAGCATTCTCAGATCAGTAGGTTTAAATGTGAGCATTAATAATTTTCCAAAAGCAGATGAATTATCTGTATTTCAAAACAGCAATTTTCCTCAGAAGTGTCATTGTTCCTTGGAAATACCAAAAGAAGAAAAGAAGTACATTAAAGTTGAACAATATGAGCCAAACCATCACCCCCACATACAAATGAATCACCCAAATCCAAGTAAATAATAATCTCCCTCTCCTATACCCCATTTTACCCTATATCCCCATTTCCCCTGACCATTCAAAACAAACAAAAATAAAACCAAAATTCAGAACATGCCATATTGCATATACCTAGCTAGATTAGACATAAAGCCCAGCAGACTAATTTCCACCCAATAAGCAATCAAACTACATTAGAAATCAAGAAAAAGATCATAAGAATTAAAGGACATGTGATTGCATATGTACACATGACAAAGACCAATATAATTAACTTATTGGATCATATGGAGAAATTGCAGCAAAATGATTAGAATCTTCTCCTTTTGATCTCCATAGATACATCACTGGTATGAGAGAAGAGGATCCGAGGTTCCTCTCAGCGCAATTGTAATAAGCAATATATATTCCTCAACCTTGACTCATAAAACTTACAGGCTGAAGACTAATACTTGCAGCTGACATGATCGCTCCGATCCATGCTCCTCTCATCTTTCACCCTAACATTTTTTTTGATCTCTTTTGTGTAATAAGTAAACCCACACCCACATTTTGACGACCCAGATTAAGAAAAAGAAGTAGTAGTAGTTTTCCCAAAGTAATCAATAACCGAAATTCTAAGAGGCTAAAGCTGAAGAAAAGGACCAAAAGATGACTTCAAACGAGGCAGAGCTAGAGAGAGAGAGAGAGAGAGAGGACAAAGATGAAAATGATGGATCTGATCCTGTGGTTATATTATTGTAGATCAGATGAGAGAAGTGACTGAGGACCAATATTGGTTTGATCATTCCAAGTAGAACCCAAAGCTGTTGCAGCGTTCCAGTAAAGTGATGAAGGATCAGACAAGCCTGCTTGATGATCGATCTGGTTATTTTGCCACCCCAGAAACCTGTTTTCATCTTCCACCACAGACTTCACTTCTTTTAAAGCTGTATTTGTGCTATTATTATCATTATTGCCTGCTATTGCCAGTTCTTCTAATCGTCCGAACCCCTGAAAAGTACTGTTATCAGCCCCACTATTGATGAACTTTTGTTGCTGCAGATTCGAGGAGCTTAACAGTGAAGCCATAATAGAAGGAGGGGGAGCAGTACTGGATGTGGTTATGGATGTTGAAGAAGAATTAGCAAAGATGGAAGAGGTATAACTTGAAAGAAGTGTATGATTTGAAGAAAACCCATTTCGGTAACCATTATCTGAGAAATCTAATCCAAGAGAATGGTGATTAATCTGAGGTTGATGAAGATGAAGATGATGATGATCAAACCCAGAACTGGAATTGAACCTTGGAAACGGAAGATTCATGCCATAAAATAAAGGACTGATGTGATTGGAGGTGGAAGCACCCACATCGATCTGACGAGACTGTGAAGGAGGGTTTGAAACAGCTGAGACACCAGCAACAGTAGAAGAAGAAGAAGAAGAAGAATTAGAAGAAGGTGTAGTAATATTAATATTATGATGAGTTTCTGAAGCTGAAGAAGAACAAGAAGGACGCTTCACACGCTTGTTTTTTCTGCAACCTCCACCAACAGGAACATTCCTTAAGGTACCTCCTCGAGTCCAGTATCGCTTGCAGGCTTTACAGAAATGTCTAGGCTGAGACAAGCTGTAATTGTTATAGTAACAGAACTTGGTGTTTGATGAGTCACATCGAGGACACTTGAGAGCTTCTTGTTGCTGTTGAAGAAGTTCTTGGTTTGGCTTTTCCATAACCCTTTGATGATGAGAATTAGCAGCTGAGGAAGAAGAAGAGGAAGCCATCGACACCTTTTGATCATCTATCTCCTGCCTCTTCACCAAGAGATCAAAATCAAGATAAGGGAAAAATGAGATGAAAAGAAGGAAAATCAAAGAGCAAGCTCCACTATAAGAAGGAGGCGTTCTCTAGGGTAAAATAACTAGACAGCGTAGATATTCTCTTCCAAAAGCAAGGCAACAAAATCGGAGTGGTCGTGTAATGTCTAATTATTGAGAGAGAGAGAGAGAGAGAGAGAGAGAGAGAGAGAACCTGTGGCCATTCTTTAGTGTTTTGAGGGATGAGTACCATTTTCTCACAGTTACCCAACATCTTGATCTCTCAAAGGAATCTTTTGAAACAAAGAGTAAACAGACAAAGATCAGGTGGCCAACGTGAGCCTTACTTGATGGTTTTGAAATGCTGTTTTAATTTGCCGTGATATGGAAGTAGTGTGGATAAATAAAAACACTTTACAAGGAGGGTAGCATAATGAGATGTGAATGAAAATAATAATTATATATAATCTACATATGTATACACTTGATTTTTTTTAACCTAATAATGTACCGCTTAATTAAATTTTGAATAGATTCACGTGATGAGTCTGATTAAAGATGGAAATTCGGGTGCTATTATAATGGGATTCCGCAGAATATTGACAGCAATATATATAAGAGAGACATTCGAAATCCGAGACGAGGACAGAGAGATAAAGCAGAAATAACGATGAATCTTTGATTAGTTTAAGACAGAGAAAAGTTTAGAGAACCTTAAAAAAAACATAACGAAGAGGAGGCTCATATAGTTTCCTCGCATTACCACGTAACATTCCTTTGTACAGAGAGAATCAGAGCAATGTGTGTGGGTAAATAGAGGGAATCCCTAAGAGCCCAATACCCAATGCAGTTCATAGAGCAAATCCCACTTCCACTTTGATCTAATTATAAAAAGATACTCCGGTCAAAAAAAAAATTATAAAAAGATATCATGAAAAGCATCAATTCTTCAAAGATTGATTTTTTTTCCCCCAGTAAAGATTGAAATTTTCATGACTGTATTTAAAATCTTGTCTATATGATGATTATTAATTAAAAAATTTAGGCAGAAAATTGTGAGAATAAATCATATTAGGCACATTTCTGCATAGGAATAAGTTGCCTTGTTCTAGCTAGATTTGCATGTAATACCATACATTATAAATTTTATATTTTATGTTAATTTTTCATATATTGTATATTGTCATATATTAATGACGATTTGCAGTGTTATATATTTCAACTCAGTTCAAACAGGATTAGTGGAGAGAATTCAAATTGTCAAAATAAATCAAATTACTCATATTTTTCTGAAAATTAAATGAAATTGCTTATGGCATTTGAATAGTTGATAAAAATTTCAAGATTTTTTTTTTGGTTTCTTAATTACAGTACTATGAATTTCATCTAGTCGGTGAAACAAATAGCCAGTTTCTTATCAAGTCTTGCACAATCAATAGGAAGAGAAAGATTTGTTCTAAATGGGAGACACAACATATATAGGGATGAGAAATTAAAATTGGAACAATATAATTTTTTTGGGTCAGAAAAAATTGGAACAATAGCATATATGGCACTTGCATGAACCTTATATAGATGCTAAGGACAGAAACATATATAAAGCAACAAAGAGAAGGATTTGGTATTATTCTTTTGAGCAGACTTTAGTTTGCTATATGCAAGAGGAGATAGAGATAGAAAAGAAAAATATGACGTGGCAAGGAATTAAGAAGCAATGAAAAGAATTTTTTTAAAAAAAAAAAGATTATTTTGAGGGAATTAATGAAAGTTCCAAAATGAAATGGACAAAAAAGCACCATGTGAGAGTTCTATATGTGTGTGTGTATCTCAAGACTAGAACAATATAGGAAGACCACGCTTTGCTGTTGAAGGCCTCCACTTGTTGTTTTTGTTCTTTCTTTTCTTTCACTGTCGCCAAGTTGTGAAAGACAAGTTTGTTTTTGCTTTTTATTTTTTTTGCCAAATAAGAGACAATCAACCCATGAATAGGGTCCAGAGAAGGGGAAACTGACAAGGGAGGGCATTGATTCAACATTATTTACAATGAAGTCCCTTAAAAAGGATTATTTACAAAGACCCACATGAGAAAATTTAGATATGAAAGTAGTAATACATTCTCATAGTAACATCCTGAAAACTCAATAGTCAATAGTAAAGTGCGCATGCTATGATTTCCAAAGTCTTAATATTATGTTTTCTGAGCGGATATAAAGTTACCACATAAAAACTCCGTTCTCTTTACAATTTGTTGTAGAATTTATAAGAGCGTTATTACAGTTTATAGACACACTACCACATAGATGGAGTCACTACCACAAACGGCATTTTTTATCTTTGTTTTAGAGGTTTTTTCACGTCTGTTTAAAAAAAAAATTAAAAGAAGGGATATACTAGCACATGTCACATCTGTTTCAAATAGAGGTGAAAAAAATTCACCTTTCACGTTTGTTTATATCATACGTGAACATGATCAACATTGACAAATAATCACTGTGTCACTATTATCTGCAAAGTTATCAATTTGCAATCAATTTTTCTTCCCTTCCATAAGCAATTTTATTTCACTCGTTTGTATTGTCTTTTTAGTAATTAATATTTTTAGGCATTTTAATATTAATTAATATTAAATCTGGTTTTTTGTTTATAATTTTTCCCGGTTAAGAGATGGAGCCTTCAGGTGCAGTTGTGCAGAAGCAGAAGCATGTGGCTGGCAGCTCAGCTCACACGGGAAAAAGATGAAAAGAGGAATAAAGGAAAAGCGCACACGCAGGGGGGGAGAGAGACAGATGATGAAGAGGAAGGCAAAGGATTTTGTAGTCTCCCAAGGGATCCTCTCATGCCTCCCTAAAATTCCCATCATTATTCTCTTCTCTTCTCTGTTCAAAACTTTCTTAATTATTTGCTAATTAAAATATTTCACTCGTCAAGCCCACTTAATTAATTAATCGATATTGTACATATGCAAGATTGTTCAATATGTAATTAATTAAGGCACTGTACAATTCTTTTGGGGTAAAATATTGTACCTTTTTTGGAAAAAAATAGTAAAAAGACCTCCTAATACGTGAAATTGTGATTTGGGATCCTCAATTTGAAAAATAACAAATAAAGTCCCGACTCTATATTACAAATATGAAATCTTGATGAAATATCTGAACCCTTCAGCCAAGTGACAAGTTAACCATGGGAAATGACAAGTTTACTTTAGCGAATGATAACTTTAGTAGACCAAATCACAACTTGACTAAGAGTATAACAAATGACGAGTTCAATTTAGTAAATAACAATTTCAGTAAGCTAAATCAAAATTTGAATAAGGGGCATTTCAGACATTTCACTAAGATTTCATGTATACAATATGAGATCGGGTCTTTATATGCCATTTTTCAAATTGAGAGTCCCAAATCATAATTTAACATATTGGGAGTCTTTATTTGCTATTTTCTCTTCTTCTTTTTTAACCAGAGCCCAGCAGTGATATTTGGAATAATATTAATTGACCACTATTATATTTCCTGGTCCAATCACTGTATGTCATCATTTTGGAACTGTGTTCATGTGAGTGGAAGCCAATATAACCTGAGTGGTACCTAATTAATCAGTGCCCATTTATCTCGGAAAAGGATCTAATCTTCCAATCAAAAGAAAATTGTATTCCATAATTTATAGGGAAAATCCCAAAAAAGTGATAGCTAAATTTCAAAATTCCAAATCAGTATTCATTACTACACTCATAAAGAAAATGACTACATTCAAAGAGTAAATGACAACCCATTTTTGTAGTAATTCCTGATTTGGCATTTTGAAATTTATTAATCACTTTTTTGGGATTTTTCCTAATTTATATTAGTCATAATAATTTGAATTTTAATAGTCTAATAATATTTTTAAAATTGGCCGCTCATATTTTTTGAGAATTATAATTTGATCTTTTGATATTGCGAGGTCATTTTCGAAGAAAGTGATAACAAATTTTAATCATCCTTTTCATATTGAAAATACCAAACTATAGCTTTATAAAATATTCATGATTGATTTTGTAGTAAAATATTTTTTACAACAATTAATTGCTTTGATAAGGTACAACAATTAATTTTATATGAAATAAATTAAATGATAGACTTTTAACTGATATCTTCCACAGAAACATAGTAAATGTTATTTATATCGGCTTCATCATCGACTCCTCTTTTTAATGAATTGAAAATATTTGCAGTTTTCTTTTTATTAATTGAAAATTCAATTATAGTTTGACTCACTATTACAACCTAAATCAATTTAATTTAGGTCTCACACTTTCTTTAGGAGGTAAATGATCAAAATTTTGCTTCTTTGGTGCCAAATTAGAGTAGTTTCGTCTTGAGTAATTATTACATTTCATCTAATTCTTAATACAAGAGTTAGAAAACTAATTTACATAGATTAAAAATTAATTAAGTGCCTTATTTATAAATATGTGTATTGATTTTTCTAAAATATCCTTTTTAATATAATTTTGCATTAAAATTACTGCTTGATTAAAAACCCCATTACTATGTGCACTTAATAGGAATAGTTTGAAAAAATAGTTATAAATTTAAAAGATAAAATGAATTGCAATTTTATATTTAGAGTACAAAGAAATCTCCTAATTGGTTCCCATAATTACGATTGGAGGGAGTAGCATTGATTCTTTGACAGAACAAAAAATCAAGGAGATTAAGCTTATACTTCTAATTGCTAACGGTAAAAATGCTCAATCTATTAAAGTGGACAAAGTCTTCATAGCATTATCTTTACAACTTTCATTTGAAAATAATTAAATTGAATTATGACTCTAACCAACTAGTTAATTACTATTACTTGGACAGAGTCAATAGTCTAATTAATTTTTCACTATATCATGACATGCTAGTTGAAGTGATTGTTTTAATTATTTCTTTGTAAGTGTTCAAGTATGATTATGATTGGATGAGCCAATGAAAACTTGATTCATCAATCCTTTTGTTCTTAATTCAAGTTTGAGTACAGTAAAGCCTAATTATAAGCAAAATTTCATAATTTTCCTACCCATAAGCTAAAATGATATTGGGAGCGACATAATCCAAATTTGGGTTAAGTGGAGCCTCAATTGAAAGAAAGCTCTAATAATGTACTTCCAACAATTATAAGCATGAGTTAAATAATTAATTAATTTACAAACAT